TTCCATTGGGATATTAGACCATTTTTCCTTAGTTCTGTTTATACAGTATGTTACATTTCTTATTTCTCCTGTTGAACTAACCCTCCATCCCTCCAATGACTCCTATTTATCTTATTGTTTTGTTATATTACATTTACCAATATCTTATTGATAATTTTTTCATCATAGAGGATTATATTCGTTAAAGAAATTGGTCAACAGTTCTCTTTTTTTGATTGTAACTTTGGATACCAGGTTAATTACTGCTTATAGAAATGATTTTGGGAATATTACTTCCCTTTCAAATTTGTTGAAGCGTTGAGAACTATTTTTCATTAGATCTCCAAAATTATTGTAGAATTCAGCAGTGAATCCTTTGGTACTTGTACTTTACTTAGTTGATATTTTCATATATATATATATATATATATATATATTCTTCAAAATCATTTTCAATATTGAATTCTTCAGAATTTTTATATATTGTGGTCACTTCTGATTTCCAAACTTTCATTAAATTTAGTCCCCAAGACTTTGTTTGAAATTTATCACAGATGGTAATGTTTTGATATTTTTTCATTTATGTTTTGTATCATTTAATTTTGCTCTCCTAGTGTTTTATTAATATCTTTGGAATGCTCCTTGATCATTTTGGTTAATTATTTCTATTATCTCTTTGGTTATATCATCTATGATTTCACTTGATTCCCTTTGATCTTTTTTCCAACTTCTCTGTTATCATTCCAAGTAATTCAGGTATGTGTTCTATGCTGTTCTCTTCCCTTGAATCACCTTGCATTGGATTCACAGTAGCTAGAAATTTTGATAGACATTCTGTGGTCTTGTGTTCTAATGTTTCCTCCATGTGTATGTGTTGAAGTTTGTGGCAGTCATAATGGAGAGTCCTTGTTACTAGTAGAAATCTGTTATTTAGTTTTATTTTCAGTAATATAGTTTTGGCATACTAACAATAGTCCTTTTCCTCTGCACTAAGGTTCTACCACATATTTTAATTTTGGAGGAGAAGATACAGTTCAATTAGCTCAACACCAAGTTCTCTAGGAATATACCCTGGTATTGTTAATGTCAAAAATGTAATTTGGGAATTGTCCTACAGAAAAAGAGCCACTAATAGTTACAGTTCTGTCACCCTGGTAATGTTAAGTAAATCAGCTACAAAAGAATCATGCAAAACCTATTGGATATTAAAATACAAGTAGAAGCAATAATGTTCTGTGATTAACTATATAAAGAAGAAATTCATGATAGCACCATAAACATGAAGACAACAAAATATTGACATATACCTAATACATAGTAAGTACAACATTTATAGTTGTTCCAATTGTAGAAAATTCAATAGTAATTTTATAGTGTGAGCCAACTGTAGAAAGTTTAATAAAACTTCATGTTTATAGTATTAAAGATAGAGGAATCTGGGAAAAGGAGAATGATGCAAGAAGGAAAATATGAAAGTTCAAGCTATATGATATAGGAAGGAGGATAGAGAATTAAGGCAAAAGACCCGATAAGGCTAGAAGGATGTTTACAGAATTACAGGAAAACTGATGAGAAATTGAAGATAACAGAAAAAGAGAGAAAAGAAATTATATAGAGAACAGAAATAAGTGCAGAATAGTAAGAAAAGAGGGGGTGACGATGTAAGGAAAATGATTTTTAAAAAGTTTTTCTGATTTTGAGTAAACAACTTGATTCCAGAATATGGAATTTGGGGGTCTAGCAATTCTCCATTTTCTCTGATGCCACTCTGTTTTCCCAGGCTGTAGTTACGTTCAAGGCAAGATGTGTCCCTGCTCATGCTGGTGAATAAGAAAGGCAGCCATATCCAAGATGTGTCAGGGATGCAGGGAGAAGGCTAATGGCTCTGCTAGTCAAGCCAAGACTTTCAAACCCAAAGTAACTCAGTCTGGGCCTCGCCTCTGACCAAAAAGAATGGGACTTGTGTCCTTTTCAACTTAGTCCAAATCCTTCATAGTGTCTCTTTCTAGTTCCTCATCTGTCCAGGGGTGTTTCCTGAAATTGACTTTTACCCAGTCACTGTGGGAGGGTTCTGCTGTGAACTCTGAAGTAAAGTTGTCCCATGGCTGTTCTGAGTCCTTGGTTCAAATATGCAACCTTTTACTTGAACAGAATCCAAGCACACTCACTCTTCCAGGATGTGATGGGCACTTGCATAGGGGCCACTCACCGACTTCTTCCTGCTTAAGGACTCTGTGGGAGTAGAACACCACACAGTCCCTGCAGCACCTGCTACTCTATTGAAACATGTTTCCGCCCTGGGACTTCCTGGAGTTCCTAGGCTTCATTTTTTATCCCTTTCCCCTGAGATTGGATAACAGAGAATTAATTTGTTTCTTTTTCTGCATTGCAGTCTGTGTTTTAACTTCTCTGTAGTTTTTAATTTTACTGTCATTTTGTTTTGGGTTTCAGGAGAGCTACTTCTCTTTTTTTGTCATTGTTTTTGTCCTCAAGGTAATAATTTCCATACTCTGAATTTGAATATTGGATAGGCTGAATTACTATTGCCCACCATTGCTCCTTTGCAGCAATGAAAGTACATTAGGTAACCCACACTTGTAAAACAAAAGCGGGGGGGGGGGAACCATGGAGCCTCCCTTCAGCTGGTGTTAGCCTGGAGTTCTTGTTGAGGTGGAATGCATAGAGACTCCTTTCAATTCTGCTAAGTCATTGCAGTTTTGAGGACAAAAGGAGGTAACTTGGTCCAAGGGTAACTTCAAGTCAGTAGACGGTAAACTAACAACATATATTTAGTCTAATAGACAGCCGAAACAGCAGACAGAGCAAAATTATGGCCTCTTCCTTAAGACTGAAGGTGCCTCCTTTCCAGAAACAACACACCCACAGAGTTTACCTGTCTCTTGGGTCAGCCTTCAGAGGCCTTAAGTTGCATGCTCAGTTCTAACTCAGGGAGGAAGGTGTGGAGTCATTAAGGAGATACCAGCAGGTATGGTCACAATGAAGATGGAGGAACTACAGGAACACATAGCAATTACCTTACTTATGACCTCCTTGTTTAGTCACAATAGCTGAAATCTGCAATTCAGTGGAGGAAAATTTGAAGGGGGCTAAAAACTGATAGAGGTTTCAGTCCACAGTCAGCCAGCTCCAAGGCAGAATAGCAGAATGGTAGGACCCAGTGGGAGCAAAGCCATGTATCTCAAGACCTACAAGAAACAGAGTGCAAAAGGGAGAGCCAGGAAGAAAGATAGAATCTGCCCTGTCACACACAGTGACCCTCTTCTTCCTACAAGGCACCACCACCTAAGACCAGGTTAGCTGTTAGCGCCCACAATGCATCTATCTTCTGAAGCTTTGCCTATCATCCCATGAGCATCTAGGGTAAACTATAAAAGGAGTCCTGAATCACAGGAGAGGTGGGCACAGGTCCTGCTGTCAGCAGTGACGTCCTCAGAAGGGGTGACATGATGAGTGCCTGCTTACATTATTCGAGAATGCTGGAGACTTATGCGAGGTGAAGGACTTGTTCTGAGATGCTATCTGCAGGATGGCACAGGTAGCTTCTTCTAGCCAAAGATCTGCCAAGATAGGTGTAGACCTTAAGTGAAGGCTGAGCTCACCATGCCCAGAATAAAGATGACGAATGCTCTGTAGACATCTCCCTGAGTCCTCGGTCATCCTGAGAAGCTTGAGAAGAGCTTTTAATGTGAGGCTACTCTCTTACTTCTGAATTAGTGGTCTCAGAGAAAAGAAGGTCTTGGTACAAGGGGGCTTAAACCCAGGTAGCAGAAATAGGATCCCTAGCTCTGTCGAGAGGCTGGGCGAAGTAAAGGGAACCCACTCACCTGAACACACCGTACTCAACTTTCAGCCTGTTCCTTTTATCCCCCATATTAACAGCCTGGAAACACACATATACTAGCTTCCACTGACTTCGATTTCAAGGGTCTCCCATATATATAAAGGAAGTTCAATGAAGGTAGGCCCGGTTGTCCCAGGGACAATGCCAGACAACCATTTATTCAGGATGGAGTAGGTTCTCTTTCCTAGGCCACACGAACCCAAAATTAATATTTCCGACTACTTCTGATGTCCCAGGGAGCATATGCCCTTCTTCTTCACTGACTTTAATGCCCTGTGAGACGCAAAGACACTTTTCTGTAGGAGTTTATGTCATGCCAATAAACAGCTGGGGTCTAGGTCCTGCTCAAGACAGTTGAAGGCTTTGCGTGAGCAGACAGGGGACCTTTCACACGAGGAGCAGGGACCTCACAGACTCTATCCACCTCCACCCTGAGAGAGCTGGAACACAAGGACTCTGCTTGAGGACTCTAGCCTGAGCTGTCTCCCATGTCCCTTACAGGAGCTATAAGAATCAGGAGCAGAAGGTCTTGGTCTGAGGTGCTATCTAAAAATCACACAACAGAGGAGACCCGGGAGTCAAGGTAAGGGGCATGCACTGAGGTGTGCCTATGGCTCCACCTGCCCAAGGACAGAGGGGAATCCTTTCGTCCAGGGTGCACAAACCCTGCTGTCTGCCCTAGAGCCTACTCTGAGATTAAGCTACAGCCCAAGGTGGAATCTCACCTCCTGCCTGGGTTCTTGAGGACAGTGCCTCTAGGACAGGACTCTGAACACCACCTAAAGAGAAGACCAACTATGGGCCTTCTGGGAGTTGACAGGAGTACTCTCCCCAGGTAAGAACACTCACACTATCCCTCTCTCCTCCAGGCATCTGAGTCTTCATCACCAAGCACTCACTGCCCCAAGGATCCTCAAGACATCTGCACTGTCAGTGGACACAGCTCAGCAAGGTAGGGGGTGGCCATCTTGTCCAAAGAGGGGCAGGGGCCTGGCAGGTGTGTGAGTGTTGAAGCGTGTCAGAGAGGAAAAAGTGCCTACCGCTTCCTTTGGCTGCTCACCCTCTAGTGTTCTGATCCCGCTACATCAAGTGAAGTGCGTGGAGCTGAGACACCAAGCTAGCCCCAGGATCCTCAGGGTGTGTCCTGTCCACCACTGCCATGGCCTCTGCTAAGGAAAACCGATCCTGTGAGGGCAGCAGCAGGCCAGAAGAGGAGAATCTGTGCACCTCCCCAGATGTGCTTGCCCTTCTGTTCCTGTGCCGGCTGTACCAAGACAACAAGATAGCTAAACTGTTGCCAATCCTGCTCCTCAAGTATCAGAAGAAGGAACCTATCACCAAGGCAGAAATACTGCAGTTTGTGGCCCCGCGTTACCACGGGCACTTCCCTCTGTTATTCAAGGCAGTCTGTGAGTGCATGTGTCTGGCCTTTGGCATTGATGTGCAGGAAGTGAATTCCCCTGGCCAAACTTATATCCTTTTCCCTGTCTTGGGCCTCACTTATAATGGCATAGTGAGTGATGATTACCAGAGCTTTTCTAAAATCAACCTCCTGATGGTCATTCTCTCAGTCATCTTCTTGAAGGGCAACCGTATCAATGAGGTAGATTTACGAGAATTCCTTAAAACAAGGGAAATGTTACCACAGAAGGAGCATTTTGTGATTGGAGACCCCTGGCAATTCATCACAAAGCATTTGGTAGAACAACAGTACCTAGAGTGTAGACAGGTCCCCGATAGTGATCCTGCTCAGTACGAGTTCCTGTGGGGTCCAAGGGCCCGTGCCGAAACCAGCAAGATGAAAGTCCTAGAGCATTTGGCAAAGGTTAATAGGAGAGATGCCAGGTCCTACAAACGTCTACATGAAGAGGCACTGAGAGAGGAGCAAGAGGCCACCCATTCATGCAATAGGAGCAAATGAAGGGGCAAGTTACTAGCCAGTGACAGGGAGGGATCCTCACCTCATCACTGTCTTAGTTCCCACCCCATGAGAGTCTTCTTTAATCTGTGTTTCTGATTTTCTTGTAAGTACTCAAGAGCCAGGGAAGGGGTAAAATCCTGTGCATATAATCTCTATGTCTGTATTACTTTGGTTATTTGGAAATGTAATTTTGTGCTCTTTACGGCTTTTTGGGATCTTGCTCCTAGTTTGCAAGTTTGGCATAGTTTATCCAAGTTATTTGCATAATTATTCTGATCACATGTGTATTTCATTTTGTGATTCTGATGATTGTTCATGATTTCTGCTGTGAATGTGATTTTGTTTGATATTGACTACACAGGCATTTTACTCTTCCTTTCCAAATGTAACAGTCTTTGCTATTTTGTCAAACCAACTTGGAAAGCTTTCATTTTATTTTGAAGAAGATAGCATAGAATTCAGCTATTAATTTCCTTGGAAATGTGAAAGAAGTTTACATCAAATTAAAGGTAGTATAGAAAATAGATAAGGATAAAAATCATTGATTTCTTATTTTTTTACCTGTTTTCCTATACTATTAAAATACATGCATACCTGAATATGCTTCGTTTCTTCAATTTATCTCGCAGGACATTGACCCTAAACATTCACTGAACTTGTGTCTTTTTGTCATTCCCTGTGTCTGTGATGGAGATAAGAATGCATTAGACTGAACAGGATCAAACCTACCCCGTAGGATCTTGCAGTCCAAGAGTACCTGCCATGTAAGGATATATAGAGATGTCCTCAAGTAACCAAGGTCCATGAAAAAGCACATAGGGGCTGGCATCTAGCAGAGAGATTCCCCGGTAGAGTGAAGAGCCATGGCAGTTTGTGACTTGCTGTAATTGCATTTCCCTGCACAGGAGTTGATTTTAATGCAGCTGAGAAGAGGTCAGGGCCACCCCCTTTCTGGGCTTGAGGTAAAACTCTCATAGAATGCAAGGATGCTCTGAGCAGCGCTTTTTGTTGGTGGGTGAAGCTGAGAGGAATCTCTTTATGAGAAGATTGGTCCTATACAGGGGAGGAACCAGAGGATGTGTAACCAAAGTCTACCATGATTTCCTGAGTGATAATGGTAACCTACAGATGCAGTAGGGCCCTAAAGTCCCTGGATGTGCTGTGTCTTGAGACTGTCCACGTTCCAGGACCTTTCAGTGCCCAGTTGACTGGTTTTTCCGTGGGCTGCTTCTCCTCATGAGCCCACTTTGTTTGAACAGTCTTCCAAGGTGGGTGTCCTAATCTGGTCAGTGGTGTAGGCCTCTTCCACAAGTGATCCATTCACTGCCTGACCAAGAGGTTCTCCTTCCAAAGATTCTTCTTAGAGTTTATGAGAGAGAGTCTTCTTCCTTTCTCACAGTACGAATTCATCTGGATCAGTTTTCACACATTTCTTGCAAATGAGTTTCATATTGGTGTTGTTACAGTATGTAATTTGCCTCAAAGATCCATGGACCTGCATGGAGCTGGACTTGTCACTACAATGGCCAGGGTTTTATATCAAAAGAAGCCTTGTGAGCTCCAAGGCTAGACTTTTATCGGAGGTATTATGACTGACATTAGTTTTGGCACTGGAAGAGAGCTGGCAGGAATCAAACCTGGCAGTCTGTGAATGCATATGTCTGGCCTTGGGATATGGTTCTTCATCCAATATTCTACAGCTATAAATTGTTTGTTACCAGGAAGGAAATTCTCTCCAGCATCAAATCAATTATTACATCCTACTAGAGAGAGCACATAGTGGAGTAGTGATTTGCCTGATTTTCTTTTCATTTTCCTGTTTGCCTGCACCTTCCCTGGGAAACACACAAAAATTTTACAGGAAAAATGTCACCACATCCAGGGATAAGCAATGTTAGAACCAGCTGCTTATCAAATATTCAGTACATGGTATCAAAATTCTGGTAGGTGTTATAATACACTTTCCCTTTGAACTAGTCCTACAACCTAACACGAAGCCCATTTTATAGAGGAAGAACTTGAGGTCTACTGGGCTCTGGATCTTCTCAGGATATCTATTTGATAAATGTCAAGACCAGCACTAGACTCTTAGTATGAGGGCATCTAGTGCCCAACTTCTTCCCATTCCTCCCACCCTGAACCCAACTCTGATTCTGAATTTATTTCTACAATCAAAGAAATAAAAAAATAGCTCTTAAATTAGAGAAAGACCGTATGTCCAAGGCACCAACTTTAGAACTGAACCAATAATGTAAAACTGAGCAGGTGATTGGCTGTACCCTACTGCCGGGGGAACTACCCAGAATCACCTGCCCTCCACCACATCATGTAGAAGGCATGGCCTGTCTCTTTGCTCACCCTGAAAACCCTCCAGTAGCTACAGCCTTTTTGACACAAATGTTAACTCTGTGGACTATGATGTTTATACCATGGGTTGTATGCCAGAGAGGCAAAAATAATACACTCTAGCTTTCCCAAGTTTGTGAAAATTATTTTGCCATGAAGCATAACATACTCCTTATCTTCACAGGTACATTAGGATAGCTTTGAGATCATCTTGACAGTTTGTAGGATTTCAAGAAAAGTTTCCATGTAACAGTTATGTAGGTGCATAACTTATGTAGGAGATCAAAGCCCAAAGCTCCCTGAGAAGCAGAACCATGCTTACCATGGTAGAAGAAAGAAAAATATCCACTGCAACTTAATTCCTCCAAAACCTGAAGTCCTCTAAGAAGGTAGCAGGTGCTTCTTCACTAATCTCATAATACAAATGAAAACCCCTTCCTTTTCCAGTCTCTCATGTGTGTCTCCCCCACTTTGAAGCACTTGCTTTCAATATGCCTAATGGCACTACTCCTGATGCTCAGACAAGGACATCCATGTGCGCTGTAGGAACCACTCTCAGGTTAGCAGACTGGCCATGAATCAAGGACAGGAGAAAATTCTCAGCCTGCTAAGATTGGAGGTTAGTGAAGAACAAGAGCCCCTCCTGCTAATATTTTTAGAATAATATGAAAATACCATAGATTATGTATCTGAAGCATTTCTCACAGAGTAGGTGGGCACTGGATAAGACCGAAGGACTTCCAGGCCCATCTCACTTCCTCAAAAACACCTCTCAGAATGGAAGAGAATTTTATCTTAACAGATCGTGCTTGTTGCTTTTGCTCACACACCTACATTGAGCCACTTATGGTGACCCTACAAATCCACACTAACACACAGCTTATCTTTCCATCTTTTATAGCATGGGAGCATTTCAATGCCATTATCCTTGAGAACTGTCACTAGATTTTCCTCTTCCTCTGCAATACTTGAATAACATTACTTGTTCATTACATTCACATCTGTAAGAGGTGTTGAATGAGCCCAAGAATAATATTCATTCCATGGCTGCAGACCACACAGGACTCTGTTTCCACCCCTAAAAGGTTCAGCCATTCATGTTACTCCCACTGATAGGAATAAGCTGATTCTTACCTTGAAGTCTCTGGGCAGGAGCTGGCCCACAGATGCTGCCTGCAGAGTTTCCTTTTTGCCTCCCACACCCTTCAGGCTCCTGAACACTCCTACCAACCTCATGGCAGTTGTGATGTCCTTCCCAAGTGAATGTCAGATGGTGCAAAATCCCTGAAATACCTGAGCTGAATGGTTTCCTCCTCCCATTGCTCTTCCCCACCCTCTCTTGGACCTGGCCTCAGCCTGTCCAGTTTGGAACATTAAGCTCTGTGTGTCCCTAATGCCACCTGCTTAGTCCAAGACAAGACACAGTGCTGATGGGAACAGGGAAATATCACCACCTGAGGATGCATAGAAAGAATTATGTTCTTAAATTCCTCCTGTATGATTCCAGAGGAGCTAAGGTGTGCACCAGACAGAAACATACAATAAGCAAGTTATTCAATGAGATGCCAGTTATTCCAGACTCAGTTTAAAAGCGGTACTGACAACAGCTACTCCATAGCCAGTCACTGCAGATGTGAGCCTTGGTTTACACAGTCACTTGTAAGAAATAGATCAAACCACTCATTCCATAGCAGAAAATTTCACATCCTTGGGGGACTACTACTTAAGGAATCTGGTTGATCTTTTCCTAAAGTAATTCTCATGAAAAAGAATGGTATACAAGTACTGTGCTCTGTTGCCATTGGCTCCTAAAACTCAAGACTAGTCTAGTGGAGTTCCGTGGTGCCCTGAGTCTCAGCCAGCACCTGTGCTGTTCTTGACATTGTGGGATGAATATGGCTCAGTATCATAAGCACCTGCCTGGCAAGTGCAAGGTTCTGAGTTCTATTCCCAGTTTGAAAAAATACACGAAATTTGAATTAGTTGCTTATGTGAAAAAGAAAGATCTCAATTTCATAGTTCCATTTTGCATTGCTATGTCCTTTCCAAGCTATGAAGTGTCACCTTGTCCATTTATGATATAAACCGGGCAGTAGATCCATAGGACATATTCAAGGGGATCACTAGGACACTTCCCTCTTTCTGCTGCGTAGGAGCATCACTGCCTTCTTACAAAGGAGAAGGTCATTTACCCTGGCAGGATCGTGACTCTTGTCTGTGCCTGCTACAACCAACTGCAAGGACCACAAGACTTACAGGTGAGTGTTGCAGTCTGTATCTCAGTCCTGCATCATTGGTGTTGCAAAAAAAAAAAAAAGATTCAGGGTTTGATCCATTTCTATCACCAAACAACAAGTGCTTTGTTGGAAGCTAAAGCATAAACCTCACTGAGACTCTCAGTGATTCTCTTGAGAGAAGTATTTTCCTACAAAAATCAATGCAGTTATCCAGCACCAAACAATATGCACCCCAGCCATCACAGGTTGCATTTAATACTAGATCGGTGACTTTGGTCCATCATCACAGAATGCACTTCTGTACCTCACAACTGCCCTCAAAATTCACGCTACTCAGCAGTGACCTGCTGCCCACATCCATTTCCTGTTCATCTCTGGGAAATATGATTTTGTCTGAACTCTGTCTCTCTCTGCTAG